CACTTATCGTATATACAAAATATTGTTTAATGAATATAATTGTTATTGGTTAAAATATGAGAGAATATCGTGATTTCATGGACTTCTGAAATAATAATTTTCACTACAATTTCATACACGGAACTTACATTGCACTTCAACGATATGCAAGGTCAGTAATTATCTGCTGCAACCGTGCTATCGCTTGCGTAAATCGTTAATTCTATCGTGGCAAGCCACGATTTCACGTACGAGTTGCACTTTATCCAAGAATTCATTGCACCTACGGCCAATTGAGTTTAATTGATTATACATGGATTTAATTTGACTAAATGGTAATATTCTATGATATATGTATAGTAATAGCGCATATTAAATGTGTTAACAATTTCTCAGTGTCTGTGTAGTTTCATAATCAAGAGAATAATAATAATATTAGGAAGTTTTTGTTACTTAATAAGATAAATGAGAGGAGATAATACTGTCGAGAATTGGATGAGGGCCGAAGTAATTTATGGATGATCGCGCAGCGCCTACGATCCGCAGAATTCCGTTCGTGATAGAGTAACATTGAGAAACTTTCATATCTGAAGTTTATTTTGATTTATATAAACTAGTTTTTATATAGATAGAAATAAAAAAAGGTCACACATCAATAGAATTAAATCACACATACATATTAAATCACACATAATACATATTTACGCATATATAACTTATAAAAATGTAAAATAAAATACATATACTAAGTTTTAAAGATAATTAAATAAAACATAATTTTTATTAATTGAAACACGCATCACTAAAATAACGAAAAGTTAAGACTGACTCTCGATGAATTGTAATATTAAAATTAGTTTGCGTCGTTTTACGGTTCTTTGCGGATGCTTTCCATGACCTGTTGGCATTTATCTATAGGAAGAACTTCGGTTTTTATAATCCTCTATCCGGCGATTTGCGATATAAGACTGCACGAGTTTATTGCGGATTTTAATAACTTCTCCGATCGATCTAATAGTGAGCAGATAGGAGCAGATTTTAAAAATGTAACAGAGCATATCGTTTATGAGTCTCTTAATAGTCGTACGTTTTTAATATCCCTTGAAATCCGACTTCTCCTTTCCTCGGAAGATCCGGAATTCGTACGGCATACGCACTTATTTACGCAAGAATTATTTTAATATTTATAGTCCATGAGAATCATCTGCGGATTTTTCCTTCGTTTTAATGACCGCGTGAAAATTTCTACAGCCTCTAGAAAGAGAATTAATACAAGCGGAAGTAATGCGTTTCTTTATTACAGGAGTGAGATTAATGATTGCAATTAAGACATAAGTACATATATACATTAAAAAATTACAATATAAACGAAACAGTTAATTATTGTAACGCTAGTCATATATGTTAAACTTGTAATTGTTCATTGTGCAACTAATAATGAAACTTAACATAATAACTTAAATTATTATATTTATTTTTATAAGGTAGTATTAAATGATTATAGATAAATCCAAATAATTTTCAAAATACAATCATTAAGTTTAATTAATTTATCAAAAATAAATTTTCTATTTTTACGAGATATAAAAATGATCTAAAATGTTTAAATATTAGATTCAAGAATATTCAACCATTTCGTATTTTTGCGAAGCTAAATGGACAAATCAGTTCTTTAGGTAATGGCTAAAAGAGATAATAACGTAACGGAGGATGGAAAAAGTGAGAATTTATGTAGTAATTTGTGTGTATGACTTGAATAACTACCTACATAATATAACTGAGGCTGGAGAGCAACGGTGGTAAGCAGACGACGCCCTCCGCGATGGAGCTTTAATTAAAATTACGTACGTTTGCCTCTTGTAACGCGCACACGTTACTCTCTCGCCTTCTCCTCGCTTCTATTTAATATTTTTATGAGCTTTTCATTACGGACGCGCGTGTATGCGAGCGTATGTCTAAGCGCGTCGCTTGTGTGTGAACGTCTCGTCCACAGCGTATTCGCATTCTCGGAGGAGAAGAGGATGTCTTTGAAAGAGCATCCGTGACGGTGACTTTAATTGGTCCTTTTTCTTTCTCTCTCCTCCATTCTGAATCCTCATTTGCGAAATTCATATGAAGGAATTTCTATCGCGCGCTCGCTGATCGTCGATTGTCGCGAACAACGAATCGTCCTTGTAAGGGCCACAATGAACCTGTAATAAGCATCTCTTTTATGCGGGATGCGTAGGGCCGTGATAAATGAGCGAAGGTCCGTAGAAAGGAATGAGAAAAGAGGAAAATTGGGAAATTATTCGCACGCATGGGAAGGAATGCAATTCTGAGTGCTTGAAGAAAAATTACGGAAAGAGATCGTATGTTGAATACCTTTTCACTACGCGGAGAGAAAGTGTAATACTAAGTATAATATTTTTTTCTTCAATTCAAAACATTCTTTTTAAGATGGATTTATCAAGAAACTACTTGAATGAATATAAAATGCAATTTTTTTCTTTTTATTATGCTGAAAATCTTTTTAATTAATATTATTTGTTTATTTGAACCTTTTTATGTAAAAGATAACATAATTGTTCATAAAATCATAAGGCTTCTTGTTAAGAGTATTAACATAATTGCTTAACGATCGTGACACTACGAGACAATCTTGATTGTCCCTCCGGTAACTAATTCTCTTCGAGATATCGAACAATGACACATCTACAATGAATATTCAACGTACCTGTAAACTCACCAGTTTGTGCTGCATATGCATTATGAAGATTTGGTAGATGTTGATAATCGATATGTCTGCGAGATCTGAAAGCTATCGAAATTACAGAATATGGAATGATTATCACTCGGTACAACGTTTAAAGTATGCTATTTTAGTTCAATATAAAAACTATAGTAATAGAATGTTTATTATATGATACATTATATGATTTATTTGCCTTTCTGCAAAAATTTTATAAAATCTATAAAATCCTGATTTTAAAATATTTTTAGATATTTTAACAAGTTCCTCGGCAGATGAGAGAACGTTAAAATATTCTATAATTATGGAAATTAAGCAAATTATAAAAAGTGATTCTTTGAGTTTGTTTTTTTCTAAATAACTTCTAAATAAACAATTCTAAATAAACAATGTAAAAGCATCCTAAAAAAATTACGCGCGCGTGCGCGCGTGTGTGTGTGTGTGTGTGTGTGTGTGTGGAGACGGGAGATATCAGAGCGTGAGAAAAAAGTGCGATTGCAAAGTAGTAATCTGTTGGCGTGCCGATAGGTTTGTTAAAGGGCTCCGTCATAGCTGAACGACCGCGTACTTTGCGCCGCCTGCGGAACGTCTACGGTCAGACCGCATGCGGGATGGGTACCGGCGGCGACGGGGATGGGGATCGTCTGGAGGACGGCGAGGTCGCTTTTCGGCTTACCGGCGATCGAGATCGCGACAGAGACGAGAAGTCTCTCAGCATAATGAGTCCTTTCGACGAACAGGAGGAATGGGCGAAGATCTCGGAGATCATGGCGTCATTCGGAACTGGTATTGTACGAGAATCGGTGTTTGTCAGCGAGCTCGAGAAAGAATTCCAAACGAGGCTAGGTAAATCTTATCGCTGTGCACGTTTTGCTTTCGATTTTACTGAATAAGACAAATATTCTTGAGCGGTTTTACGATCCTAAATTCAATTCATATAAGTAGTTTATACAATTAATATAACGTGTAATGTATTCGCATATTGAAAGTATTTTATTCTACTTTTTGGATAATTAAAATACAGTTTTTCTATAAGTACGCATATATTAAAGTATTTCACATACATACATACGGTTGATGCAATATTTTTCATCACGATAAAACTGTAGAAAAATATGCATTCCTTTCCCATATCTCAGGTTTAAGTTCAAACACTAGCAGTCCTATCGTTTCTACTTCCGTGGGTCAGTGGCTGTCCAGTTTGGGTTTGGCAGATTACGAGTCTAAGTTTATCAAGCACGGTTTCGATGATCTCGAGTTTATAGTGAGTACATATGCGTTTTATGCATCGCGATAGTGATTCCGAGACACGCGGAAAATCGTTTAATTGCGCGCGGTTGCAGAACGGGGTGTTGGACGAGTCAGATTTGTACGACATGAAGATCACCAGCGATCACGAACGTGCGGTGATCATGGACGCGGTCAGTTTACTGAACAAACGAGTGGAAAAGCGTAGCAGTCACGGTCAATCAGTAGAGGAGTGGCTAAAGAGTATTCACATGGAAAATTATGCAGAAACATTCAGGAAGCATCTGTATACCGACATGGATCGGGTCAAACGGATTTGGGAGGTCGAGCTGGCAGCAGTCTTGGAGATCCACAAGCCGGCGCATCGCAAACGCATCCTTGCGTCCGTGAGTGGTCCAAATAGTGCACGCGCACAGACTCGAAACGGCACGGGAGCGAATTTGGAAGATTTGAATAAGGATCTCAACACGTTGGTAAGTAACGTTGGATTAATTTGCTTCTAATAGTTTGCTTCTAAAATTAATTTCTATTTTGCTGTAAATGATCTCCCACAAAATCTTCAATATTCTGTGTTCTTTTAAGACACTTTTGCGTGTGTACCTTCTATATAGAGATAATAATATAATAAATCAGCATAAAACAAAATTATAAAAAATTAGGTATTATACTTATTAATTAAAAAAATCGACAAATAACAATAACAATTAATAATTACATAAAATATAAAGAATGAACTTTCGCTCTTAAATCAAGCGAAATTTGTCGTCTTGCGAATCGATACATTGATAGGACCGGTGAACGAAAATAATACGTTCAACGAGGGTGACAAGAGTGCGCTTCTTCGCTAGCGAGGGTAGTGCGGCAACAGTCGAGGGCAGGCGGTGATGTGGCAAGCTCGATCACTCCCAATGCGCTTTCGCTCGATCGCGTCATAATGTAAATATCGTGGCTAATTGGAAGCTCGGTATTGTGATGCATGCGTATACATGTGTTCTCTCCGAGATGATCGTTCGAGCGCTTCTCGATGCTTTTTGTTCGGATGTCTTCGCCGTGTTAGGCGTTGATAAGTACATCTCGTTGCTCACCCGTATCTCCCTGCTCGTGTCCTCTTAATTAGCTCATTAAATCCCATAAACGTGTCCGACGACCGGATTCGTTCGGCTCGCATCATTCTCGCGCTCGATAATCCCGACAAATTGGTCTCTTCTGCCTTTTCAGCCGGATCCATTCCTCCCTTGATTTTTTGTAGCTATCGAACCCGACGAACCATAGTTTGACTCTGACACTCTCGCTGATACGCTCGCGGATTTTCGTTGTAGTCCATACGCTCTCCAACATTCGAATTTCACGTGTTCTTTCTCTCCTCCTCTTTCTCTATCACTCCCGCGCTTTCATTTCACCTCCCTTTCGAGTCTTCTGCAATTTATCGCAATAGCGAGACCCGGAATTATATGCGGAGACCAGATGGAGCGAACGATTCGGATTGTAATCCGAATTCGAGTGTCACGCCCGTCCAGCTCGAATCCAATTTGTTTGCAATAGCTGAAATATCGTCACTATCGACGACACATGATGCACGTTTTGCCATAGCCGGTAAAAGGTTTCTTTCTGGTGTAACGATTTACAACGCAATGTATTTGTACAAAGGTAATTACACGTTGCACAAAGTAAACTCGGGTCAAATTCGACTTGGTAATACGCTATATAAAAATTCGGACGGCGCAATATTTTTTCTTTTTTTTACATTGAACACAACGTTTCGTTAAAGCCGGTTGGTCCAGCAGATTCTTGTCGTGATAAAGCTATGAAAAAATATCTGCCAGAGAAATTGCAACCTCGGGGCAGACATGGCAGTCTCTATTCGGAATTGCACGGAAATTGGTATTTATCTGTAAGAGAAAATGTAAAAACTCTGCTTTGATATACAATTTTTTTGCAATGATTGCACGAGAGATGGTAAATTCAAACAGTTTAAATATTTTTTGACAATAACAAAAATTTAGTCAAAATATAGATACCTGCATTTTTAAAAAACAAAAATAAAAATTTATTATCTGTTATATATAACAGACATACATATAAGTTTTGCGTCGTGATTCGTTCTTAAAACACAAAAGATTACATATTCCAACGAACAATCTGAATTGAACGCATCAGTATCCGAACAAATTCGGGATTGGATGATCCGTTGGGCGATGCGAAGGGTCGCTCTCAAATTTGGTTGCGATGTTATTTCCGTAGAAGACGAACATACAGCAGCTGAAGGAGGAGATACGGGAAAAATTGCCCGAAGCAACGACGGAGGGTAACGGAGGCACGTCGATAACCAGTGGCACGAATTCGGCGGCCATGGGCACATTAAGGCACCGCAAAAACAGGCCGGCGCCTCAGCCACCCCAGCGACCCAGTTCGCATAATGGGACGATTTCGGCGCCGGAACAGCTCGAGATCAGGGCTCCGTCCGAGCTGCTCTTCGGAGTGCCCTCCACCCTCAAGACGCAATGGAGGCATCAGCCGGAAACTCTAGTCACTGGCTGCGTCACGTACGTCGCTAACGTGAGTGTCTCGCTTTTTATTATTTTGTATTTTCAAAAAAGAAATGCTTCACTATTTGTTTATTTTCTAAATGTAACGAACAGCAACCACATCTGATATCATTTGATTGATTGTTAAACTTTTAATTTTCTTGCAAATTTTCTTGTTAACAACTGTTATATATGAAAAACCATAATACTTTTTCGTCTTTTGCCATGACAGCTTGATATGTCAAATTATGAATTGCGCATGAAAGATGTTTTCTTAAAAAGATGTTAAACTTTTTACTCTTCTCATTGTTATTTTAAGCAAATAAATGTTATTAAAGTTTATACAAATTTTATCCATTTGTAATTTTGTCTGTTCTTGTCTTTACCGTGTTCTGTTAATTACGTATGACGAGTGAATTATGGCATTCTCGTTAAATTACTTCAAGGCCAAAACTGTGATTACGTTTAATTCATAGGATGCGATAATAGGTTTCGTGCAGAAAATTGCTCTGTCTATTAATTTCTCGGAATATTCCAATTCAAGAGAATTCGTTTACATTCAGAATTGCATTCAGAGTACTTAAATGATAATTGCAGAACTTATAGATATTCCATGATGAGACATTTAAAAACTTCGTCTAAATTTTTTATCGTCGGTCTTTAGGAAAAAGTTCTTTTTGTTTCTAAATAATGTAGTATTTGGGCTCCACTGTCGTCAAGGAATTACGCGGCACCGAGTCGACAAAAAAGTCGATACAAAAGCTGAAGAAGACCTTTCGTGAACCTAGAATCATCCCTGACATTATGCTGGCGATCTCTTATCGTGGCGTTCGTTTTCTCAACACGTTAACTAACGTAAGGCTTTTTTTTTAACAGCAAACGTTTCTTACATATAAAACAAAAATTTAGAAATATATGTTCTTTATGATCAATACGATAGGAACCAATTTGTGAGCACGAGATCCGTAACATTCATTGTGCTTGCCAAGACGCGGACGATCTTACTCATTTCGCATACATCACCAAGGATCATGCCAGTCGCACGCATTTCTGTCATGTATTTTGCGTGCCAACAATGGTAAATATTTATTTTTTGTAGAGAATTGAGAGAAGAATTATTCAAATTTATTTGCGTATCGCATTATGATTTTCTAAAGTTTTCATTTAACGCTCGGACATACGAAGTTCCGTCATTCCGTTACAGGATCAAGCGACAGAGATCATTCTGACTCTGGGTCAGGCTTTCGAGGTAGCTTATCAAATGGCATTGAGGGACAAGCACGGTGGCCACGCTGTTCGATCCCAATCCGCCAATCAACTAGCAACGCTCGCTGGATCGTCAAAGTCAACGACGCCCGCCAAAATGTCCGTGTCCCCCGATTCCGCATCCGATCCCACAAGTCGAGACACGGATCATGCGTTGACTCTCAATTCCACATCGTGCGCGAATCCCAAGATGAAATCGAGATCGAAGTCCATACCCAATCCGAATCTCCATACCGTTAATCCAAATCCGACGCAGGACAGTAACTCCAACTCCAGTTCCAGCTCGACGACGACCACTGCGAACTGCAATCCCAGCTCGAATTCCGCCTCGAGCCCGAGCACGAACTCGATCACCAGCTCTAACTTGAACAGCACCACTAATCAGACCACTAAGCCCTTGGTCACCCACGGCCGTTCTCATTCCGTCAACGACATCAAGGTAAACGGTAATCAATTGAAGTTAGCACCGGCGCCGGTGGATGACATCGGTATCGGGGTGAAAGACATGAAGCCCGGCTCCAGAGCTCCCATTGCGCTTTCCGAGGAGCTGTAAGCTGTATTTCGAAGTTAAAATGCATGATATCGTTCTACATAATTGCGTAGCGTTCGACTTGACAGGAATGTGTCGCTTTTGCGTCAACATGAATATGACGGATCTCCTAAAACCATAAAAGTGTCATAAATATTGCCGTAAGATTTTCCAATTTTTCGACTTAGAAACATATTTAATGGCATTTACAATAAAATGGGAATGACAATATTTGGGAACGACAATGCTCGCAAAGTTTGCTTGTAAAGCAGAGCATTATACATGTATAGATATGTATCTTTTGCGAGATTCTTGAATTAATGCTGACTGCAAAAATGCGAACAATATTCTCTCGATCGATTAAGGATATTAATCGAGATTAAGCGATTATTACAATTAACATGGTTCCTTGACGCGTAAGAAGGAATTAATGTTTTTTCTTATCTCTTTTTATGCGACTTGGTCATTTTGTCAGTGAGTATGTATTTTTGACGGAAACGCACGCATATACATATTTTTCTCGAAAGACAAGATATTCAGCCGAATGAAGAATATGGCCTCGAGAACGACGTAGGTAAGTAGCATTTTCTCGCCACATCTTGCATCTTTAGATTGATATGTGACTGATTTTATAACGACGACGCTGTGATCTTGATCTTGAATACTATGTAAGGTGTGCATTGGCCAAGATTTATCGAGCTGACTTATTGAGGCAACTAATCGATCGTTCGTCACACATACTTCCAGCGAACAATGAAAGACATTAAAGATCTTCTTCCTTAGAACGCGTCGTTAAAATAAGCAGTATTATTACGCCATTAACAATAATGAGAGTGAGCATAAATACGCTCACCACTATATTATTTAGCGTAAAATCGCTATAATGTTGGATGTACAATTCTCAATGTGCAGCTTTAATCTGTCGCGGATAGGCTCGGCGGTTCGTATCTGATTTTCGCTGATATATATATATATATATATATATATATATATATATATGAGTCGGTTCGTTTATTTGTCTTAG